CCATCCTGCTCGTTACAGCCCTTACAGTTGATCCTGCGTCCATATTTACTGTTGTTGATATATCACATGTGACATCACATTCGTGTACACAGCTAGCCAGTCATAGAAACATACAGACTAAGGACGTCATAGTTTGGGAGGAATTTAGCCAATCATTGTGGCAAATACACACATGACGTCACAGTGGCGTGCATAACTAACGAATAAGAGTAACATAATCACATGACGGCCAGGCTAATCTGCATGCTATAAAGACACACAGCTCCCCTCAGCACTGTGTGTGTGTTTATGTAAGGACTCGGCAGCGTGACAGTGATAAACGACTTTGGTGCTGAGAACAATAAGGGAGGAATCCCTCTTGTGACGTAAAGACCCGAAGAAATAAATGGATGTTTGTAGATAAATGAGAGAAATCGATAGAGACAGAGACAGACAGACACAGACAATCAGACGGACAGACAGAACATATAAAGAGAGAAAATGAAAGAATAGGAGAGGGAGACAGACCGACAGACAGACAAGCAGAAACAGACAGACTCACATACACACAATGACAGGTAGACAGACATACAGAGAAAAACAGACATACAAGCGGACAGATACAGAGATATACAAACAGGCAGACAGGCAGAGACAAATACACACACACACACACACACACACACACACACACACAAAGGCGTGGCTGTGTGGGTGAATGATCTGCTGAGTTACTACACGGTGCTTGAAGGCGGTGTTTTAATGAGATCATGAATCAACTTGATGATGTGTGGCAGATGGAAGGGTGCTGAGGGAGGGAGATGGTGGGAGGTGAAGAGAGGAAGGGTATGGAAGAAGGAACGAGGGTAGAAAGAGGAGATTGTGAAGAAGAGAGAGAGAGAGAGAGAGAGAGAGAGAGAATTCTAAAATAACAGAAGGCAAATGAAGCTAAGGACAAACGGATGATTGATGAAGCAGAAGAAGAATGAAAAAAAATATGTGAAGAATGAACCAAATGATAACGTAACCACCACCACCACCACCACACTGTAACCATTGGGAGGTCCGGAGATAATATGGACGAATCTTGTTACTGTAACCACTACTGTCACCACACTACAACTACCACCATACCAGGACCACTTAACCAATACACTACAACTACTACCACATCAATACCACTTAACCAGTACCTTATTCGATGACCACTACAACTACCACCAGATACACCAAACACTACACGTACTGCCACCATTTGACTTCCACCTAACCACGACATAATTCAACAACCACTACCACCGCCACACACCACGACCGCACACTACAACTACCACCACCACAACCACCACACTCACAACAATCTCTCCACACCACACCACACCACAAGAGCCCTAACAAGTGTCAAATCGAGCGGAAGAAATGAGGTCATATTACTTCCGTCCGATTTCCCTTTATTCTCATTAAAAGAAGCGACCCATATTTATGAGTCAATGTCTAATACTCTCTTTCTCTGTGTTTGACTTGTTTGCAATCTTAACGTGTCTATTTACAGTCGTGTGGTGTGTGTGTAGGTGTTGTCTGTCACGTGTTTGTGGTAGCGTTGAATATTTTATAGTTAGCCATTAAAATTTTCTGTTATTTTTTTATAGAGAGAAAATGGAGAAGCTTATGGTTCAAGGAGTGACTGGGGAATCTCGTTCAATGTACACCGGAAGGTAAGTAAATTGCTTTCACTGTTATTTTTGGTTGGATTGATGTTGTTTACGTACAGAGCCGATAAGTGTGTGTTGGTTGATGTGTCCAGAAATGATTTACGTAGGTCGTTAAGGTTTTTATAAGTGTTAAAAGCTGTAGGGTTTTAATGTGAGTGTTGTGGGATTACCTGATGATATATCCACTCCAGCTTGTTTCTCCTGAAGATTAACCACCCTAACCTAACCCTAACTACCGTAACCTAACCTAACCCTAACTACCGTAACCTAACCTAACCCTAACTACCGTAACCTAACCTAACCCTAACTACCGTAACCTAACCTAACCCTAACTACCGTAACCTAACCTAACCCTAACTACCGTAACCTAACCTAACCCTAACTACCGTAACCTAACCTAACCTAACCTCGGAGAAATTATCTTTGTGCCATAACAAGAGTGTACCAGTATTCACCTCCCAAACATCCTCATGTAGAGAGTATTGAAGATCTTACTTATCTCTGACGGAAAACTGAAGATGAACTCTCTAGCATATTTCAGATGGTGATTGTAACACCTAACACTACCTGGGAGGGGGTTAGGTTAGGTTTGGTTTGGTTTGGTGTTAGTTTATTTGGTTTGGTTAGGTTTAGTTTATGCTAGATTAGGTTAGGTTAGTTTATGTTATATTTGGTTATATTAGTTTAGGTTAGATTAGATTAGTTTAGGTTAGTTTATGTTAGATTTGGTTATATTAGTTTAGGTTAGATTAGATTAGGTTAAGTTATATTAGTTTAGATTAGGTTAGGTTAGGTTAGGTTAGGTTAGGTTAGGTTAGTTTAGTTTAGTTTAGTTTAGTTTAGTTTATGTTACGTTTGGTTAGTTTATGTTAAATTTGGTTATATTAGCTTTGGTTAGATTTAAGTTAGCATTGGTTAGGATCGCTTTAGGGTGTTTAATCATCAGGTGAAATAAACTGGATACCAAAATCTAGATGAACCAGTTACATACATTAGCATAATTCTGTGTAGAGAGGAGACTCACCCATTAACCTTTACAAAACCCTCTTACTGAAGCCATCTTTATATTATGGCATAAATTTCCCACTTGGCTGTGTTATCTAGTCCTCAGTTGGAAGGAAAATATTAACTTGGGAACCTTTGAGAATCCAACTTCGTGAACCTGTTTGAGTTACAGTGAATCCTCCATATAAGAGACTTTTTGTTCTTGATATAACCCGTTAGATGAAGGTTTCACATCAATGGACACTAGATATAACGGAATTTCATCTCTATAATGTCCGTTAAATAGAGGTTTCACATTTAACAGACCTTGGATATAACGGACTTTCTTCTATATATCGTCCGTTAAATAGAGGTTTCACATTTAACAGACCTTGGATATAACGGACTTTCTTCTATATATCGTCCGTTAAATAGAGGTTTCACATTTAACAGACCTTGGATATAACGGACTTTCTTCTATATATCGTCCGTTAAATAGAGGTTTCACATTTAGCAGAACTTGGATATAACGGACTTTCTTCTATATATCGTCCGTTAAATAGAGGTTTCACATTTAACAGACCTTGGATATAACGGACTTTCTTCTATATATCGTCCGTTAAATAGAGGTTTCACATTTAGCAGAACTTGGATATAACGGACTTTCTTCTATATATCGTCCGTTAAATAGAGGTTTCACATTTAACAGACCTTGAATATAACGGAATTTCATCTCTATAATGTCCGTTAAATAGAGGTTTCACATTTAACGGACCTTGGATATAACGGACTTTCTTCTATATATCGTCCGTTAAATAGAGGTTTCACTATAATTAGACTTGTTTTTACTTCCTCATTTGGGATTAAAATATTAATTTCCTTACCCTTGAGAATCCATCTTTTGTTTCTGAGCTTAAGTGAGTCAGTTGTACACGTCCTGACATCACCACTTAGGAGTAAAACTAAAACAAAACTCCATCTCTGTGTCGGGAAACTGAAGTCAGACACGTCCTGACATCACCACCAAATACCTCTAAAAATGTATCCTTCCCTGTGAGGACCTTGAGCAGAAACATTGCTCCTGGAGTAGCCCGTCAGCCGAGTCAGCACCGAATTTCCCTCTCATACTTGAAACTCAATTAAATTCTTTTCTATCTCCCTTGATGGGCGGCCACGGTGGGGGCTAATTAGTTCTCTCGAGTGGCGGGGATAAATTAGAAAGTGGTGGGGATGTTTTTCTTCTTCTTCTTCATATGTTTATACGAGGGAGCTAAGATTGTCTCTCTCTCTCTCTCTCTCTCTCTCTCTCTCTCTCTCTCTCTCTCTCTCTCTCTCTCTCTCTCTCTCTCTCTCTCTCTCTCGCGTATGCTTTTGGTTTGATTAGGTTAGGTTAGGTTAGATTGAGGTTTATTATAACTATAACCGCCAGTCAGGCGGTTAAGGATATTTAGACTCTTCACGTAGTACTTGAACATTATAATTCGGTCAAACCTGTTGAATACAATTCATTTAGTATTTCAAATAAGTCAGACATAGGCACTCCTACATAAATGTTTAATCCAATATACTGTATATATACATAACAATCATGGCTATGTAATTAGTCTAATCTTAACACTTACAATGAGTACTCAATTTGCCATATTTTTATATTGTCACACTGATAAATGATGCAATGGACACAGTCTACCTGTGTACACAATAAGTACTAGTTAAACTTACGTGTTGAAAGTCTAGAGAGAAGCCAGGGTAGGTGTTGACTCTAAGATATGGGTAGCTATACTGAAATGCCCACCCTATAGCCTGGTCCCCTGGCTGGTCAGCTATGGCTGAGTCAGGTGATTATAATTATACATAAACAAACTCCCTTCACACCCTCCAACCTCCTTCTGGGCCTCTCATCTCCACCATCTCAACACTCTACACACTGTATACGGGCAGGCACACCCAATAAACATGACATGACTTACAGCCGAACATAATGATTGTTTGTGTGTCATCCTACTCATTACTGCTTGCGGTAACATTAACTGAGACTTAATTGATCAGCAACTCAGTCTTTCAGTCTTTACATTTCAAGACTGGGATAGAAAGGGTCTTAGTGTAGGGGTGAGAGTGTATCATTCAGAGGGACACAGGTAAGCTCAGGTAAAAGCAGGAGACTTGGTAGTTGTGTTTATTCATAGTACGTGGTATATAATTCACATCACCTGGAGATTAGACACTCCAGCTCATTCACTTGAAGATGATGATGATGAGTAAACACCCTAGCGCTATTTTGGGGTTAGCGTAGGGTAGTGTTTTGTTGGGTTGGGGTAGGTTAGGTTGGGTTAGGTTAGGGTTGGTTGGAATAATGTTTGGGTAGGTTAGTGTTAGGGTAAGTTAGTGTTAGGGTAGGTTAGTGTAAGGGTGGTTAATCTTCAGCTTAGGAACCGGTTTGACCTGATCTTCTCTAGCGTACCGGGTCAGTCGTTGAGGAGCCGGTTTGACTTGACCTCTAGCGTACTGGGTCAACACTTTCTGGACCTGGTAACCAAACATCTCCAGGTCGAGTTTGTATAGGTCGAGGACTTGAGCCAACAGGGAGGGGGGGACGCTGAGGTAGTACCGTAAGGTCGAGTTCTTGAGCAGAGACGTCGACTCCTCCTTCCACGACAATGCTGACGAAGACGAAGGCGATGACGACGGTGATGTATCATTGTCGTCGCTCCTGTAGGTGTGTTTGGAAGTTGGGGTTAGTTGGGGACAAGGACTTTATCTGTCCATCAATCATCCTTCCATCCATCTATCTGTCTATGTATCCTCCCTTCTTTATAACTTCCATCCAGCCATTTATCTCTATTTTCCTATCCTTCCACAACTACCTATCACAACCACACCCCCTACCACAACCACACCCACTACCACAACCACACCCCCTACCACAACCACACCCCCTACCACAACCACACCCCCTACCACAACCACACCCCTGCACTACCACAACCCCCCCTCCCACAAGCACCCAACATCATGATACAACACAACTCACTTCACATTGCGTCTCATCTGTAGGTCGAGAGAGGTGATGTTAAGGTCTCTTGAGAGATACTGTAGGTCCTCTATAAAAGTCTCTAGCCTCAGGACGTACTTGTAGGCGACGTGGCAGGGGGAACACACACTGAGGAGCCTCATCCAGTGTGGGTTTGCAAGAGTGTGTTGGTGGTGGTTTTTCAGCACATAGCGTAGGAAGTCGTTGAAGGTGATGTAGGGTGTTGGTTTGGTTATATTTAAGGCTTTTAGTAATGGTCTCCAGAAGTACCTGTGGTGAGGGGGGGGGGGAGAGTTTTCGATGTTGTAATTTTTTTTTTAATGTTCTGCTTCACCACAGCCTACTACCTAGCTTCTACAACCCTACTACAACTTCTACAACAACTCTTACCTGAAGCATTTGGTGCCGTGTGAACCTGGTGGTAAGCTCCGTCCACCTAAGTACTTATCCCTGTAGACTGAGAGGAGACGCTCTAGTGGGTGTCTTGAGGTGATGACGGTGTTGGCAGTGCGGAGGTGGTGGCTGGTTCCTATCTTCCCGAGTACCTTCCTGATGGTGGTGATGATGGGGGAGAGGTGGTGAGGGGCGTACTCAGGTAAATATTCTGTGTAAGTATGGAAGGTGTGGTAAAGTATAGCAAGAGGAAACATTTATAAATATTTTCTTTCCATATAAACGGTACACACACTCTCTCTCTCTCTCTCTCTCTCTCTCTCTCTCTCTCTCTCTCTCTCTCTAACTTACTGAGACTTGATGAAGCTCTTCCAGTAGTCCGTGTGCAGGTTCCTCGCGTCATGGGGGAAAACTCCTCGAAACGTGAGCAGGTGACCAAACCAGGTAGACGAAGCCACCTGGAATAATCCAATTAGCCTAGGTAAATCAGGTGGTGAGGTATTCTAGGTGGTCTGAAGTGATTTGGGTGGGGTAGGTGAGTTAGATTGATATACAGAATCACATGAAGTTAATTAGAACGATTGGACTCAGGTGAATAAGGTAAATTTACAGAAACGTGACTTCACCAGGTTAGGTTAGGTTAGAGGTTACCTGGAGGAAATGAACTTGATTTGTGAGTAGTACAGGTGTGTGGTTGAGGGGACATATGGCGTTATATACGAGTACATATATGTAGAGCTGAGACCAGGTAAGTGAGCACACCTGAGGCAGATGTCTGGGTTTATATAAAGGTACGACTAATGAGCGTATTACCTGGTCACGTTTTGGGTGAGAGAGACAGGCAGATAGACGGCCAGGGGACACATAATAGATAGAGACATATAGACAGGCAGATAATAGATAGAAAGACAGACAGATAGGCAGGCATAAAATATAGATAAAATTGATAGGTAGACAGATGGAGAGAGAGAAAGGGGTGGATAGATAGATAGATAGATAGAGTTGTTGTAGTTGTAATATCCTTAATGGTACCGGAAGTTTAATGTTAGTCGCCTGAATATTAGTTAATTGAATAGTTGTGATGAAGTTACACACACACACACACACACACACACACACGCGCACACTATCGTGAAATATTTATCGTGATATTTGGCTGAAATATGTTGAGAGGTAAAACGTGTAGTGGTGTCATTACTTCTGTTTCTGAGTGGTTAATCTCTCTCTCTCTCTCTCTCTCTCTCTCTCTCTCTCTCTCTCTCTTACCTTGGGAGCGACGCACACCATCAGGTTGTACCTGGAGGAGTAGTACAAAAACTTCCAGCTGGTGGTCTTGAGGCTCTGGCCAGCATCACCGTACATAGCACACACCTCCTTCACCCTCCTGGCTCTCTCCCACAACCTACTGCCCACCCTCGAGTACCAGGCGTCGTCTAGGCCACTGTCAGATGTCCTTGTCGACCCTTCATCCTCCACCTTATTATTAGTATTGTTGTTATTATTATATATTTGCTCCTTCTCTTGGATATTCTTCTCGATCCGGTAGTGTAAGGTTTTGTTCAAGATTCTGTTTGAGGTGGTCCTTGAAGGCTTATCCACGCTGCTGTCATAGGTCGTCCTCCAAGAGTCATTTACGCTGCTACCAGGAGTCGTCCTCCAAGAGTCATTTACGCTGCTACCAGGAGTCGTCCTCCAAGACTCATTTACGCTGCTGTCAGAGGTCGTCATCGATGACTCATTTACGGCGCTGTTAGAGGTCGTCTTTGAAGGCTCATCCTCGACCCTGTCTCGGGTGGTAAGCTGTCGTGGCGTCGGAACAGTTTTTGTTGTTGATACTGCTACTTCGTCCGTATCCTTATGGGTGTCCTTTTCATCTTCAGGGAACCTAATGGAGTCCTCATCACCTCCACCGTCCGTAGGGGAGTCCTTTTCACTTCCACTGTCCGTATGGGTGTCCGTAGAGGAGTCCTCATTACCTTCATCGTCCGTAGGGGAGTCCTTTTCACTTCCACCGTCCGTATGGGTGTCCGTAAGGGTGCTGGTTTCATCCCTGGCGGTGGTAGGAAGGTAGAGGTCGGTTGTCTGTGGGAGGTGTTGAGAGGGGGCGAGGCAGTGGCTGAGGTAGAGAGTGGAGAAGGCGATGGCGAGCAGCAGCATCAGGAAGGTCACCATTGGTACACTCGTGGCCATGGTGTCAACTACTGTCTGCCCAATATACTGCACTTCTGGAACCTCGAAATTCTTTTCTCCTTTCACTTCTTTCTTTCTTTTTTTTACTGTTGTCCTTTGCTTTATTTTTCTCTTTCTTCTACTTTCCTTATCCTTCTCCTTTATTCGCTCTCTTTTATATTTTCTGCTTTCTTTATCACTTTCTTTCTTTTCTCTTACTCCTGTTTTTCCTTTCTTTGTCTTTATCTTTCTTTCCCTTCTTCCACCGTCCTTCTTCCTTCCTCTCTTATAAATTATAGGAGATAGATAAATAGATTGATTGATAGATAGATTGATAGATAGATAGATAAAGAGATAGAGAGAGAGAGGGAAGGGGTCAGTTATGTGCAAGAGCCGATAATGTCCTTCTATCTCTTAAAGAAACAAAAACAATTAATGGCTTTATAAACACAAGAGGCGCCAGCACCTTCACTATGGGGACGCCAGCCACTCTTATACTGTGTGTCTTATTTGGATAACGCCAGACAGTGGTTAAATGCCCCTCCCCCACCCCCACCCCCAATCTCTCTCTCTCTCTCTCTCTCTTGTCGTATATCTGCTCTATTATCAGTGTCTTTATTCTTGTCTTTATTGTATTATTTTTTTTTACTTGCTCCTCTCTGATGATGTTTTTGTTGTTGTTAATTGTTGTTCCTGTTCTTTAGTCGGTGTTTATTCTTCTTCCTGTGGTGTTTGTTTGGTTTTGTTTGTTTTGATTTCTGTTATCGTGGTGTCCTTCTCTTACTCATATTTATCTTTTTTTCTTCTGTATTCATTCCTTTCCTCACTCGTATTCATTCCTTTCCTCGCTCGTATTCATTCCTTTCCTCACCTGTATTCACTCCTTTCCTCACTCGTATTCATTCCTTTCCTCACCTGTATCCCTCTTTCCACTCCCTTTCCTCACCTGTATTCCTCCTTTCCTCACCTGTATCCTCCTTTCCCTCCTTTCCTCACCTGTATTCACTCTTTCCTCACCTGCTTATCCTCCTTTCCTCACCTGTATTCACTCCTTTCCTCACCTGTATTCCTCCTTTCCTCACCATATTCCTCCTTTCCTCACCTGTATTCCTCCTTTCCTCACTCTGTATTCACTCCTTTCCTCACCTGTATTCATTCCTTTCCTCACCTGTATTCATTCCTTTCCTCACCTGTATTCACTCCTTTCCTCACCTGTATTCACTCCTTTCCTCACCTGTATTCACTCCTTTCCTCACCTGTATTCATTCCTTTCCTCACCTGTATCCACTCCTTTCCTCACCTGTATTCACTCCTTTCCTCACCTGTATTCACTCCTTTCCTCACCTGTATCCACTCCTTTCCTCACCTGTATCCACTTGAACCTCCTCTCTTCGCTACCGATCTATCAAGAGCATTGGACTGCTGGCTGGTCTACATCACACTGTTGCTCGGCGGTAAAGTAAGCAAGTGTGTTTCCTGAGGTTGTTATTGTGTCGGTTGTGAGTTGTACCGAGTTGTATTAAGTTCACATGTGTAACTTTTCCTCTCTTTAGTTCCAAGTTGTGTTGTGGTTGTTGAGGGACAGGGGTGTTATGTTGGAGGTTGGGAGGGAGGTGGTGTGGCTTGGAGGGGGAGCTAGACTGTGTTTGTGTCTGTATGTTGGAGGTTGAGTGGGAGGTGGTGTGGCTTGGAGGGGGAGCTAGGCTGTCTCACGTCACTTTCTCACGTACTGCCTCACGTCACTACCTCACGTCACTGCCTCACGTCACTACTTCACGGCACTGCCTCACTTCACTGCTTCACGTCACTACCTCACTTCACTGCCTCACTTCACTGCCTCATTTCACTGTCTCACGTGCTGCCTCACGTTACTACCTCACTGCACTGCCTCACTTCACTGTCTCACGTCACTACCTCACTGCACTGCCTCACTTCACTGTCTCATCCACAGTCCTTTAACTTTTAACCTGGTATTGTGGTTAGTAAGTTCCTCACTTAGATGGTGAGTTTAAGTTAGGTTAGGTTAGGTTACCTTACCTTACCTTACCTTACCCTTAATGTCACAACTATTTTTCCAATCACTTGTCACTTCCAGGTAAGATACAGTACGTGTGTGACCACCAGAGAGGCAAAGAGAGGCAGAGAGGGGAAGGTGGGCAGGTGGGCGGAGGCAGAGAGGGGAAGGGGGGCAGGTGGGCGGAGGAGGGGGAGGGGCACTGTATACAAAATCAAAGCCTCCTCACATCGAACTGAACTCCAGTATTTCTGTATCACTATTATGCTGACTGTCTGATAATTCTTCGTCACATTTCGGGCCGCCAGGAAAAGGTCTAAACGCTATGGAGCGAAGCGGAGGAGGAGGAGGAGCAAGTGTCACTGAATTACACTAAGCAGCCGTTCTAGTGAGAGTGTGGTGGTGGTGGTGGTGGTGGTGGTGGTCATTAAATTGACGTGTGTGTATAGTGCACCGTGATGGTAAATTATGGCAGTTTATAGGTGTGTGTGTGTGTGTGTGTGTGTGTGTGTGTGTGAGAGAGAGAGAGAGAGAGAGACGCTTTTCTTCATGAGGGAAAGAATACCTGCTTTCTTTCTCTCCTAACAACATGCAACAGATCGGTAACCTTTTCAGTCGTCCTCTAAGCGCTCTATCAAAAAGCTTTAGGTTCTCCCGAGCTTCACACCTGTGCGGGCAGCAAGGTGGACTTTAATCAGGTGGATCAGGTAATTTGTGACTCCATGCTGTATGTATTTACACAAGTGTTCTAATATTTGAAAGGGTATGGGATCCGGTTAGGTGATATGTTGACAAATATGTTTTTTTTAAGGTCGTTGATTATATGTTCAAAGTCCGCGTGTTATATGGACTAAAAATGAAGTATATGGTACCTCGTGTTTCATACCAGCTGGATTCGGTAAAATGCTGCTGACACCACATATGAGGCACGGGCAGTTCCCAATGAGGTTCACGGCGCCATCAGCTCGATGAACAGGCTTTGTGTGAAATATAACAGAGTCTAGTACTGCTTTTAGTGTCCTTGTGGGTTGGTCGGTTGCGTTCCCTAGTCCCACCCAGTAGGTCGAGGGTTCGATTCCTGGCTGGTGAGGTCGTTGATTATATATATATATATATATATATATATATTTTATTTTGATAAAATCACACGGGAAAAGGGAAACAACGCCCCGTGTGATTTTATCAAGATTTATCTTATCCACGTTTTCATTGTGATCTACATGAAATATATATATATATATATATATATATATATATATATATATATATATATATATATATATATATATATATATATATATATATATATATATGCTGATAACCACAAGGAAAGAAGAAAACACGAAGTTCCCAAAGCGCTTTCGTGTAATTACATCTTCAGGGGTGAGTACAGACTAAAGAGAATACAAAACAAGGTGTATATATACAGAGGAGGGTGAGACAGGTCCACAATGGTCAGGTATTAGGTAATGACCCTACTAATCTTTAAATAGCACCGCAACGGTCGGTAGTCAGGTCAGAGGGTAAGGTGACCCAACCTTCTCACCTGGTTACAAATCTTCTTAATTACAAAATTGTCCAGTTTGTACATGCCATTACTCAGATTCATGTTGAATGCTTCTGTATGTTTACATAAGAACATAAGAACATAAGAATGGAGGAAACTGCAGCGGGCCTATTGGCCCATACTGGGCAGTCCCGTTTACACCCAACCCCTATTGCTCATACAAGCATCCAACCCATGTTTGAAGCTATTCAGCATATTAGAGTTAATGATGATATTTGGTAACTTGTTCCAGTCATCCACTACTCTGTTTCCAAACCAGTGTTTACCTATTTCACGCCCAAATCTAAATTTGTCTAATTTAAAACCATTGTTACGTGTTCGCTCCTGGTTGGATAGTTTGAGTACCTTTGTAATGTCCCCTTTGTTTAGCCCTGACTTCCACTTAAACACCTCTATCAGGTCGCCCCTCGCTCTACGTCTCTCGAGGGAGTGCAAATTAAGATGCTTTAACCTGTCTCTATACTCAAGGTTCCTAATTCCCGGGATTAGTCTTGTCATTCTCCTCTGAATTCTTTCCAATGATTCTATATCCATCCTGTAATACGGTGACCAGAAATGAACTGCGTAATCCAGGTGTGGTCTCACAAGCTCAAGATACAGTTTTAGGATGACCTCGCTAGTCTTGTAACTAACACTCCTTTGTATGAACCCAAGTACTTTATTAGCCTTGTTAAGAGCAAAAACACATTGTTTACTTGGCTTAAGGTTCCTACTTATCATTACTCCTAAATCTCTCTCGCAGTCGGATTTCTCTATGGCATCGTTGTTCATCTGGTATCTGGTTTCCCTGCTTACATCTCCTATACTGAGTACTTTACATTTGTTCACGTTGAATTTCATCTGCCATTTTTCAGACCATTCGAAATTTTTTTTTAGATCTTCCTGTACCTTTGCGGAGCCCTCGTCAGATTTAATAACACGTCCTATTTTAGTGTCATCAGCAAATTTACTTATATTGCTGTCTATGCCGATATCTATGTCGTTTATGTATATAATAAATAATAATGGTCCAAGTACTGAGCCTTGGGGAACTCCACTTCTGACGTTGCTCCAATGGGACTTAGTGCCGTTAATGCTCACTCGCTGTTTCCTGTCCTGTAACCACGCCCTAATCCATTTAAGGATGTTACCTTTGAAGCCATGTGCTTCTACCTTTCTAATTAGTCTTTCGTGGGGGACTCTGTCGAAGGCTTTGCTAAAGTCGAGATATACCACATCATAATTGTGCCCCTCGTCCACCGATTCGAAAACTGATGAAAAGAATGTTAATAGATTAGTTAGGCAAGAACGTCCGCTTGTGAAGCCATGCTGGGAATCATTGATCAATCGGTGCTTCTCCAGGTGATTTCGTATAAAGTTTGAAATGATTGCTTCCAGTAATTTGCTTACTATTGATGTTAGACTGATTGGGCGGTAGTTAGAGGATAGTGATCTGTCCCCCTTCTTGAAAATCGGTATTACATTCGCTATCCTCCAGGATTCTGGTACTACACCTGCCTTTAAGGACATGTTAAACAACTTTAATGAGACTAGATTCTATGATGTTCCTACTATCAATTAAATTACA